ATAAAGGAAAGTCAAACTCGAGTTGCGATTTTTGTCTTTATTTCAAGAAAAATTTAGATACAACTTTACAAAAAAACCCAGGTTTTAAGTTAAAAACTTCGTTGCTCTCTTCTTCAAATGCTTAAAAATAAGGAAATTAACATTTTAAGCAGCTTACCAAGTCATCACCTATCCCCTTCAAAATATTCGCCAGCTTTGTCGTTTTTGACTTTCCTTTATTCCAAAGCGTGTAGTTCCCTTACCAAGACGAATTTTTGCATTCCGTAAAAACAAGCATCTTCAGTAGGTAGCTTATTAGCTTTCAAACAAGCCCCAGAAAACTTCATTACGACGCTCGGTTCGCCTTCTATGACAAAAGTCCGGTTTCTTTTGGGACAGCCCTCGTATTATACTTTATTAGGTATAAGTTAAAGAATTTTATAAAGACCTATCTGGTCTGAAAGTTTCAAGTGTAATTGCTATGTAAGTACATTTACATTGATAAAAAAAAAAAAAAAAAAAAAAAAAAAAAAAATAAAATCAATCGCTACTTCAGCAATCTCGATATTGCGATTTTCACCACCTCATAAATTGCTGTTTTTACAAGATATAATGCGAATGTAGCGTCGTTTTTGCAATTATAATGGTTAAAAAAGCTATTTGTACAACTTAACTTTGCTGAATTAGGAAATTGTGTAAAATTGCTGATTTTGCAAAATTATTGTTAGGTAAGTTAGCAATCTCATTTTGCGATTTTCGCAATAGCAAAATACAACCATATGCGCGCGCTCCAGGAGACGTTTTTGGTACTAATGTTCTACCAATTTTATAAGAATCCGTCATTAAACACACACATTACGGACTCAGAGGCCTGCGATAATTTAAGAGATTTAATTTGGGGGCCCGGGCCCATTCATATCAAGCCCTGGCTGGCCTAGTGGTAAAGTACTGGACTTCGGATTTCAACTCCATCCCGAGGTGTTGAAACGGCTAAGACACGCCCGGCAACGCACTTGACACGGGCTCGCTCTGGGGGCGTAAAGAGCGAGAATATTTCGGGGGCGCCTAAAAGGCGAGGTCTCCACCAATCCGCGAATTTTAGGAGCCACGGATAGCTCACATGGTTGAATGATGACAAGACAACAATTGATTGATTAAATGAATGATTGATTGATTTAATAATCATAGACAGAATACACGAATCAAATTTCAGAACAACGAAACCGTTAAAACACAACTAAATCTTCTTCAAAATCTTCCAAACTTCTAAGAACTCTCCAAAACAACCGAAACTCAAAAATAGACAAAAACTACAGCTAGCACACCAGGACTTGACGGGGGCAATGGTCGGACGACTCTAATGTGCTGATCCTCTATTCCAGAGGTCTACGGAGGTTGATTCGACACCGCCGAAAAACACTTTGAGGACTCAGGGATGGAATTTTACGTGCACCTGGACATCACACGGAATCGCGACATTTCTCATCCCGGCAAACATGAGCGACTCACTTTAGAAATTTTCCTGAAAACGCACGTCACCGTGCACTGCCGCCTCCTACGTCCCGCGCGTCCTACCCCTTTACGCCAATAGCATCTCACGAAAAGTGCTGATCAATCTAGGGCTGGCCGCGGTTCACACGGGAAACAAGAGCAAAATCTAACCTATGACGTCACAAGATTTCCTCCTCGCTGAGCCGCTGTCCGGCGTGCGATCCGCGCTATTCTCCCAGTACAAGGAGAACATGAATAATTTTTAAGTTTAGGCAAAGACATAAAGACGGAGGGCTAAAAGCAAAAAATGAAGCTTCTTTTCAACCACCTCTACGATTGGCTAGAGGATTGGCGGCGAAATCGGGACAAGTTTGAAATTCTTTAGGGCGGGAACTAAATAAAATTGCGGAAGCAAAGTAGGTATTCTAGGTTGATTTTTGCCCAAATTCACTTATACCCACTCATATTTTTTTAACTTTCGGTTAGTTTTGGTCCGTCGTCGACCGATTAATTTCATTTGGGAGTAGCAGTCATCTAGAACTGTAACGGCCTGTTTGAACCTGCTGAACCACCATGAACAGAAGAAAAAATAACTTTATCTGAGATTACTGCCTATTACCGGGCAAAAGTAGGTGTATTATATTAGGACGCAGTCCCAACTTTCTTAATACATTCGTTTTAGGCATTTAAAATACGATTCGAAGAAGAAATGTGGAAAAATCAAGAGGACAAGTTCAAATCAAATTTCCGTTTGCCGCCATGGATTCCCGCGCTTATTTACACACTCACACAAGCACCCAGCGCCAAACCAGGCTTCACTTTTTCCCCATGCTTTTAGATACGAGCACTCCGTCTTTATGTCTTTGAGTTTAGGGCTCAATTTTCGTTTCAGTGTGGGTTCGAATCCCGACTAGGACTAGGTTCTTAAGGTAAGTAATAACTCTTTGATCCTCCTCCTATAGAGAAAATACAGACGGTGCCCTAGTGGAAATGAACCTCATGCGGCGGGAGGTCTGCAAGTGGTTAACCATCCGCGGCGGGGACTAACCAAAGACATAAAGACGGAGCACTAAAAGCAAAAAATGAAGCTTCTAGAGCTTCTTTTCAATCACCTCTACTATTGGCTAGAGGATTGGCGGCGAAATCGGGACAAGTTTGAATTCAAATGTAGGGCGGGAACTAATAAATAAAATTGCGGAAACAAAGTATTTTAGGTTGATTTTTGCCCAAATTCAGGTACACACTTATATTTTTTTAACTTTAGGTTAGTTTCAGTCCGTCGTCGACCGATTAATTTCATTTGGGAGTAACGTTGATCTAGAACTGTAACGGCCTGTTTGAACCTGCAGAACCACCATGAGCAGAAGAAAAAGTAACTTTATCTGAGATTACTGCCTGTTACCGAGCAAAAGTAGGTGTATTATATTAGGACGCAGACCGAACTTTCTTAGTATATTCGTTTTAGGAATTTAAAATACGTTTCAAAGAAGAAATGTGCAAAAATCAAGAGGACAAGTTCAAATCAAATTTCCGTTTGCCGCCATGGATTCCCGCGCTCATTTACACACTCACACAAGCGCGCAGCGCCGAACCTAGCTTCACTTTTTCCCCGTGCTTTTAGATACGAGCGCTCCGTCTTTATGTCTTTGGGACTAACCTCCTGCAACCATAGAGTACATAGAGTCGTAATGTAATTGGGAGAGCTGGCGCCACTTTTAAGCATTTTCCATGTCCCGAATTCCGAGACTCCTGTGTGACGCCGGGTCACTTTTTCGATACATAATCAATTGTTTGCGATACACGGGTACCCGGCCATCCGATGACAACAACAACAACAACAACAACAACGGAGATAGGAATTACCACGTATTCCACACCGCCATTTTGGATCGAAAATGTATCGAAAAAGCGACCCGAACTCGGCACACACCGGGCTCGGAATTCGTCGAGCAGAACATGGCGCCAGCTCTCCCATTTACATCACGACTCTATGTACTCTATGCCTGCAACCTCCTGCTAACCTCAAGCAACCTCCCGTCGCATGGGGTGGACACCCTGTTCCAGGAAAAAACCCAGCAACCTCCCGCAGACCTCTCGCAAGCCTTAATCACCTCAAGCAAGGGCCTGCAACCCCATGCAGCTCACTAAGGCTTGCGAGAGGTCTACGGGAGGTTCGCGGGAGGTTACTCGGTTTTCTCCTGGAACAGAGTGTCCACCCCATGCGACGGGACGTTGCTTGAGGTTAGCAGGAGGTTGCAGGAGGTTAGTCCCCGCCGCGGATGGCTAACCACCTGCAGACCTCCCGCCGCATGAGGTTCACTTCTACTAGGGATGTTGGCAAGGCAGCAGTCTTAAAGATTTGCTGTGACGAAGAAAAGTACACGGACTGGCGCGCTGTTCAAAAAAGAGTACATTTTATGATGGAACCTGTATAAAGACCTACATCATCACTCAGACTAACATGGAGAGTCATTTAATTGAACATTAGTTACCATGACTTTCCAATTTCTGCTTTTTTGACGCACAGAACGTAATTTAACATGGTTATGCCTTCAAAACGGGACGAGTCGAGATAAAAGTTGTTATTATATTAAATATATATTTTTAACTTGCACATTATTTTCAGTTACAGTCGAACATTGATAGAAAAACATATTGAAACATAAAAAGTCAATAGTGACGAGTTTTTAGAGTCAAAATAAGTGGAAACCTCACAACCTTTCCCGCTCTTTTTTATATTTCAAAGAGATCTCTGTTTTTCCGCGATCCTATTGACCAATCAGAAGAGCAGCTTCATTTTTAGCTGTGACGTAGAAAAGAACATTTCTTCCCTTGCCACCGACTTCTGTATTTTCTCTATGTCCTCCTCCTGGTCCAATAAAGCAGATACACATGCGCAACAACATTAGTACACCAAAAACGTCTCCCAGAGCGCGCGCACACGGCTGTATTTTGCTATTTAAAAAATCGCAAAATGAGATTGCTAACTTATCAATATTTTTGCAAAACCAGCAATATCATTCGGCGATTTTTGCATAGCTAATATGAGGGTGTACTAGCAATTTTATATTGCGAAAATGACATTTTTTTATTTTGCTTTTCCAGCAAAAAATTGTTTCGCTGTTTTACTACCCACATTGCAAGTCCGTTTTTAGCACTATGAATTTCTATTTTACCAACCCTCGTGGGTATTACAGCAATATGTTTTTTTCCGTGAGAGCCCTTTGCACAAAGTTGAATGTGGGGGTCATCAGTGCATTACTCATCGATGAAGGTTTTTGCAACACATTGCACGATCATTGATGAATGATGCACTCCCACTTTCAGCAACACACTCGCAACGTGTGCAAAGGGCATAGGTACCTACGCGTCTTGAGCTCACAATAAAATCTCGCTATGTGATCATCAATCCGAGTCCGTCTTTTCTTTCAGTCCACCAAATACATCATTGGGGCGGGCAATTCAAACACAAGAGTAAAAATTAAAGAAAAATTGTCTCATAATTTTGAATGTTGATAGAATGATATTACCATGCTGCAACACAACTTTGAGAGTGGCTCGGTCATATTCTCAGCCCAAATACATAAGTTCCAGTCGGCGCCATGGGTGATAAAAATAAGAGGACAAAACGGCGAGTGATGGATTCCGTAGATTGGTCCGATGTGCCCTTGGATCACGCTCATATATTGGTCTCGATTTGTTATGGAGCACTGTAATAGAATGTTATCAAAATGGTAACAAACAAAGTTGTTACGGAAGGGCTTCAGGTACCTAGGAATTTATACCTTATTGTCTTTTTTCTTCAGTCTTTTATTTTCTTTTCAACGAAAGGAGGATTGCTATATATTCACGAGCAAAGATGCGAAAGGGACTGAGCAAGCAATATTAGGGGTATTAGGACCAGCGATAAGAATGCGGTATGAATGCGTTAAAAGGAGTGCGGGAAGTGTAAACAAATAGCATGCAGGTAGGTACAATATAGGCCAGGGTGGTTCTTATTTTTCGAATTTTCGAAAATCAAATGTCTGACACTCCCNCCCCCCCCCCCCCCCCCCCCCCCATAAAGTTGTCTCTTGGTGTGAAAAAAACGTACAAAAAATTTCAGCCGGATCGGATCATCCTAAATAAGTGGTGCCGCCGGGCCCGACAAGTACCTAGTCTCCAAGCGGGAACTTCAAAGGGACAATCGCGTTTTTCCGTCATTTGGCGAATTTTTCCCCCTTTTAAAATGTAGCTGTGGCTTTGACATTTTTTGAAATAATACACTTTTAAAGGAGCTTTACACGAAGTATAACACTTTTTACCTTCCCACTTTAAAAATGCCCATTTCTACCCCTCATAGTAGTCACATCGTGTGATTTCGCCGATTTTTCCTAACGTTCTCCCTGCACGGTGTGCCTTTTTTCTACCTTTAAAATGTCGCTACGGCTTTGAAACTTTTTGAGGTAACACATTTCTTAGGGTACTCTACAAGAAAATTAGCCCACTTTACCTTATCATTTTTAAAATACCCTTTTCAACCCCACAAAGTAGCCACATCGTGCGATTTTGCCGATTTTTCCTAACATTCTCCCCGCACGGTTTGCCTGAACGACTTTTAAATTTTATGACAAATCATAAGCAATTACGCTTCAGATTTATGAAGTAGAGAGTCTACCGAATTACCTATTTAAGCCGATAAGAAAAACATTCTGTCGAGCTCCTGGAAAAGAAAGTCGATTTAAAGGTATTTTAGAGCTAAAATGGGCAACTTACCGATGGTAGGGGAAATGTGGCTGAGTTGAGACGGGTTTAAGTAGGGACAGTTTACTTTTTTCATATGACAGTTGGTAGCAGGACGTCGATTTTTGGTGTGGTGGTACCCCTGAGACATCCAAGTAAACAGACCTTGAAACGGGAGCGACTGGCCGTGTTTTGCACTTTTCGGGTGAGATTGTTTTTTACTTTTTTTTTTTTTTTTTGGAGCCTAAAAGCTCGTATTTTTTTTAGAAAATGACGTGTGGTTCTCAGGAATTTAAACATTTTGCTGATATTTTTGTACCAATGTTGAGGGCAGATCTTCTGTCATTAGTTCCCTTTGCGTTTTCTTCCATATTCCTAACCTCAAATTCTCACCATCAATATTTACGCGGAAGGACCTTCTAGTCTGAGTTGGGACAGTGCACTGGTGGAAGAAATGGGACGGCCCAACTCATAGTATGTAGGTTCTCTTCCAAAGTGTATTGAAGTTTAGTCGCTGTATGCCAATTTGATGGTACCTACTTAACAAAAATTTAGAATTAGGTATTTGTTCTCAAAAATTAAATTTTTACGTACTGATTTATTACTTTGTCACTACAACTGTCTCATTTTGACTATTAAAATAATTTTTCTACCTATTAAAATAACTTTTTTACATTTTAGGTAAAGCACTATTGTTTGTATATGCTGGTAAGTGCCTAAGTTCACATTGAAGTTTAATTTGTTCTTAAATTTGACGATTTGTCTACCCTGTCCCAACTCTCCCAGGGGGTGTCTGAGTTGGGACACTTTTAAATTTTCTCTATTTAATTTGTAGGAAAGCTCCTATTCGTTCAATTGAGACCAAACCTCGCAGTAAGAAGCATAATAGTCCTGTCAATCTGGCATTTTATTTTGCGAATCTGAGGAGAAAAAAGTAAGACGGATTCCTATGTAATTTTGGTCGCTGAATCCGAATCTGATGTTTGCCAACAAAATTTTGCCCGGAAATGGCCGCCATCTAGAAATATGGCGGAAAATCACGTTTTTCCCCCCCCCCCAAATCCCCCAAAATCTCACTTATTTTGGGGTTTTCGACAAAATAAGATATCTTCATTTTAAAAGAACATAAAATTTCCTATCATACGGCTTTTAGATTTTTGAAATCTAACAATTAGGGTAAAAGTTATGGGCGATCGCGTTAGGGGTTGTTTTACGGGTTTATAAGGTTTTCGTAAAATTTGCTGCGTAAAAACGCTGTAACGCCGTTGGAAGGGAAACGAAAATTCCGACAATGGTTTCCATATGTCCTCCTCGGTACCAGTGACCCTCCGCCATGAAAACATCTCCCACCCCCGCCCCTCCCCCCGAGCCTCATTCAATGTGCACTTTTTTCAATTTAATCACACTAATTACAGATGTCGAAAATGTATGCAAAACCCTCATGGACCACTTGGTTTTCCAACTCCCATCACCCCCACTTAACTCCGTTATGACCCCCCTTACCTACCCCTCCACCCTTCCACCCCAAACCCTTATTAGGCATGTATGAGCCACCGAACNCCACCCCTCCACCCCAAACCCTTATTAGCCATATAAGAGCCACCAAACCGATTCTGAAAGCAAGAATTTTTTTTTTTTTTTAGGCGGGGAAAATCTTTTAAATACTTCATCTTAGGCAGCTAGGATCCCAAGATGAGTATGTGGGATTGCCACCCACTAAAAACCCCTCCGCTTTGGGTGAGCGAATAAAAAAAAAAAAAAAGCACTGAATGAATGATGTCTTGAATCCCTGGTAAAAATTGGCAGTAGGATCTGTGTTCCAAAATACTATAGACCTACAGACGGCTGAAAGTTTTCCTATAGCTTTTGTAGCCGACTATGCAATTTCTTATAGCCTTTTATAGCCCGTGGCAAAAAAGCTATACAGCCAAGCGATATACTGAATAGCCCGGTGATATACTGTATCCCACATAGCACAGAATCTTATGTCAATACTGATACATATTGTTGGGTGTTGACATGATATCACCAACACTAATGCAGTATGATATTAAGATTGTCGGTTAAACGGTATACCGCGTCAGCATGAATATAACACTGATACCTTCAATATATCAAACAACAGTATTGAGTCAATGCTGACGAGGTAAAAAAAAAATAATACGAAAAGATATTAACACGAAAAAATGAAAAAAAATATAGGAAGAAAAAGAAGCCTAAGAAAACACGGTGTTAATCAAAGTTATGATGAAAGTCGAGCCGCGCACTGATGCTATGCATGCTATAACAGCCTTAACAGGCGTGATTTTAACCCGAAACACCATCAGCTCCCTGTGGCTCAATGGCAGAGTACTGGGCTAGGAATTCCGCGGTTTGGGTTCAAATCCACCCGAGGGCGTCCGGGTATTTTACGCTACTAAACGTCGCAGGACATCAAGTAAGTGGTTTATAATATTCAATACTTGTATACTTGTGTAATTCATGTTTGAAATGTAATACATGTGTAGTACTATGAAAATGACGGTCATCGTCTGAACTTTCATATCTACTTGACAGAGTGCGCTGAGTGTAAAGACGTGTCAGTGTCAAGGTAGTAATGCATACATATTGTCGGTGTCCTGCAGTGTTCTGATGACCTTGTCATAACCCTGATTTCCATATGACATCAACCTTTTCGGCCAATACTGTAACAATATTTTGACAGCTCCAAATCAGTAACTAATAAATACTGGCATAGTCTTGATATATTATTAAATCAGGATACATCAGCATTATATAAATACTGACACTACTGACGTGTCAGTACTATTGTAGTATTACATCAATATTCTATGCTACGTGGGATAGCCCGGCGATAGGAACCAAAGCCCGGCTGCATAATTTTTTTTCGCTTCGTGTAGCCCGGCTGTGTGATTTTCTTTCCTCTCTACAGCCAGTTATATAATTTTCTATCGCCTTCTATATCCGGCTATAAGAATTCCTAAGGTATTTTGAATAACGCAGCTCCTATTGATAATTTTTACCAGGGATAGCTTTTTCTCTAGAACATTTTCCATAAATCCGCTCTGACTCGGTAAATTCGGTATTTTAATCAAATGTCCATGAATCCACAACAAATCCAGCGTTAAGATTTCATAACGATCAGGCAATCTATACTATAAGCTCCGAGACCTCCTAATTTTGCGAAACTGGTAACGCTTAGTTCCAGCGTTCTACCGGGCCGATTTTCATGATTTTTGCGGCTATCGACGGGCAATTGTCTCTAGATAAGCCAACTCTTTTTAGATTTTCAAAATATGGCCCAGGTTTTTTTATATTACGTGGTAGAGTTGCGAATTCTCCCATTTAAACAATGTAAATTTATACTTTTTGTCATAGTTCGTTTGAGCGTTCTACCGGGCCGATTTCCATGATTTTTGCGTGAATCGACAAGTAATAGGCCCTAGATGAGCCCGCTGTAATCAGATTTTGGAAAAAGGACCCAGGTTTTTTTAAAATCACGTTATAAAAGTGAGTGAGTTTACAGAATGCTCCGGTACTGCTACCGCTATGCGCGGGAGGATGCGCAGTGGTCGAGGAGGTTGCGCAGTAGCTGTGTAGCTTGCGCATCAGCTCAACACTTATCTACACAAGATTCGCACAGAATATTTCTCGTTGAGCGGTGGCCGAGTCGTCTAAGATGTCGAATGTGTCGACTTTGATTTCGGAGTGGGTTCGATCCCCGACTCTAGAAAAAATTGATTATTTCCTGACCATCATTATTCATTGTTTTACTGCAATAATTCATCAAGCAGTCATTCCAAAACGCGTCCTTTTAATTTTAAAGTAATTTTAAGTAAAGTTCAAAATCAAAGTATACCTCATATCGTAATTTTTTAGGGGAAAAATAAAACTAACACTGATAGAAGGGTAAAAATAGGGCCGCGTAGCGGCCCATTGATGGCGCGGAGCGCCTTCAGGGGGTTGGGCCGCGTAGCGGCCAGGGGGC